CAGCGGTGCTCCCATCTCAATAAGCTTTGTGTATGGCACCCACGGTGGAAAATTATTTCTCTTCCTCAAAACCATTGTGGCCACAATCTGGTGGTCCTTTTGGGAGATAGATCCCTTCAAGAAAATGTAGGTGGTGCCGGTTCGTCTCGCCTAAAAAGCATCGCCATGTTGACAAACTCATGGCATAGACTGCCATGATCGTGCGTCCCATTATGTTGGATGGATGACACCGACAACGGACACCATGCCAAATTGTTTCAGAGGCTTCCTTTTCTAATTATTCAACAATGAAGTTGTGGAGACAAGGATGAACAAGAGAGGTGCAGGTATTCTTTTGCAAAATTGCCATAGTTTGCTTTCTATCTGTCAGCTAAAGATCGGACGGTCTATATTGCAAGATTGCAGGCACACCATCATAACCAATTCAGTTTTTTATAAGAGTAGAGATATAGATACGGTCCACGAGAGAAGCAAGCATATATGTCTCGCACAGCGCGAGAGCTATATCTCGCTTATAGTGAGATAGAAGCTCCCCTCGCCTAAAGTATTTTCTCCGCGCATAGGTATTGGGCCGGCCCATTACTTCTCCTCGCTTCTAGCTTGTTCGTTATATTGGTTCAATCGCTACACTGGTTCAATTGTTCGCATCTCTAGCTGCTTGTAGTCCGGTTTTCTTCTCTTCTTTCTATTTCTTTTTTCCTTTTTCTTTTTGGTTTTCTTTGTTTTTTACTGTTTTCTTCCTTTTTGTTTTGTTTCATACCCATTTTTCTTCGTTTTACATGTTTTCCAATTTTCTTTTTCTATTTGCGTCGGTTTTTCTCTGGTTTTCTTGTTTTGTTTTTCCTTTTCTTTCTTTTTGTTTTCTTTTGTTTATTCCTCGTCGTCTTCTTTTTTCACTGTTTTTCCTCTGGTTTTCTTGTGAACTTTCTTGTTACCTCTAATTTTTTGGTTTTCTTTGTTTCTTTCTCAGTGCTCACTCTTTTCATTGGTTATCTTCGGTTTTCTTTCTTTTTTTTCATTTTCTTGCCCATGGTTGAGATTTGACCAGGTCCAGTGATTTTTACTCCGCAACAGCAGTG